TTTTTATGTTTATTTATTAAATTATAATTTATGATTTCGTGTTTCAAATTTTAACATACCCAGGATGTTTAGTAGACTCTTGTTCGGACAGATTTCAGTGAGTTATTCCTAAAAATGACAGGCCTACAATAAAAAAACTATGTATTTCCATGCAAAAAAATGTACCTCTTTGAGCACAGAAATATGGACATAATCAGACCGCTAGGGGCGTTAAATTAAACCCAAAACCAAAAATGTAATATATTGCAGCTTACCAACCGTTAAATGTGGTGGCTGCATTAGTGCACGTTTTTTAAAAAACAAACATACATACTCACCTACAGTAGGTGGATGCAGCATCAATGCAATTTTATCCCACTGTCGGCTGAATGTGGGTCACAACAGTGCAGAGCAAAGTGCACTCCTGTGACTTTTAAAAGTATGACCAAAAGAGCTTTGTCCCTACTTCTCCTTTAAATACACTAACAAAGTTAGTTTATCCCTATGCATGTCTCTGTTTTGTTAGGGACTATGCCATCACCAATGCTTCCACCAGAGCATTTAGATGCACCCACCACATCATTTATTTTTCCAAAAGGACTGAGTGCTATCTAAATTGATCTGATTACTGAACAAATTAATTAAATTGAAAAAAATATTGCAATATTAATAGTTGAAAAGTAGAGATTGAAAAAAAAAAAACCTCTGCAGGAAAATATTAAGGAGAAGAAGGGAAATTAGGGCTGATCAGGACAAGGCAATGGCTACTGAGGGGTTAAATAGGACCACATGTTACTTAAAAATATATATATATTGTTTTACTTGTCAGGTTGTTTTAACTGGCATCACATATAGGGCCAAGCTCATCACTTTAATGTGCAGATGAATAAAACAGTAGATACAAAAGTAACAATGAAACTTTGTATCTCTCTAACTTGCATCTTAACATTGTTTATAGATACTGTCAGACTGTCAGTTTTTTTACAGCAGCAGCAACTATTGCAATTGCTATATTTATTATACAGCAATTCCCAAATGTCATTGTGACATCTGGGAAATGCCAGCAAGCACAGGGGAAGGCAGGGAGCTTAGCAATGGGGCAGAACATACTTCACATACCCTCTATAATTTGAAGAAGTTTTTGGGGCATGTGTCCACAACTAGTTAAATATATTTTTGAACGCAAACATGAGATTTCTAGTGACTGAATTTAGTTGCCATTCTAACAACAAGGCCAAGGCTTCTGGAAAAAGAAAAAAGGAAAAAAGGAAGGAAAGAAGGAAGGAAAGAAAGAAAGAAAGAAAGAAAGAAAGAAAGAAAGAAAAAGAAAGAAAGAAGAAAGAAAGAAAGAACACACTACCTGTTCACTCAATAAATGTGTCTATCTAATTAAAAATCCATATTCTTTAAAGGCTCCTTAGGGCAGGGATAGGCAACCTTAAAGAGGTGGAGATCTACCTGAACAACATGGGAGAAGTCAAAGATCACCAGGCACAGTGTTGCCGTCTCACACCTGATTTAACTCTCTGAATGCCGTACTACCGTGTCACAATCACGTGCATTGCACGGCAGTTAAGGGTTTAAATAGGGTGATGAAGAGGCAACATATCGCCTCCTCACCACCTGTCAAACGCACTTGGATTGCTTTGCAGAGGAGCAGCAGTGCCTACTTCACCTGTGAATGAGCCCTTAGTTGTAATTGGCAGCAGCACCCTAGGGCTTGTTCACATGTAAAGTTGGGGGGTGGTAAAACCCTGCACTTGAATCATGGTGTTACCTCCTCCCAATCCCTACCCCCTTTAGTTGCTGAGGCAGCAGCCAAAAGGTGTACACATGCAGCAGCAGGAGTTACACTCCCTGTTGCTTTCAGTGGGTGCAACTGCCTGTCGACTGAGCCCCATTGAAGTAATTAGACCACTCTGCAAGTGCCCCACAATTGCATGCTTCTGCGGGGTCCGAGGGCTTAAAGCAGGTGGTGAGAAAGCTACAAACCGCCTCCTGTTTAACTCCTTGTTTGCTGTACTGCACAAGGTTGCAGAGCAGCTTCATTCACTTGAATGGGTCATGCTTAGCTGGTGCTAATCCCACCAACCATGACAGGGCATAGGAGCAGCACTACAGAGGAGGCATCAACTTATGTGGCTTTTGCTCCCTACTACAGCTCCAACTTTACAAGTTTGATGCTCTGGGATGGCATGTCAGCAAGCCCAGACTGAGATCTACCGGTCACCTGGCCAAGATCTATTGGCTGCTGACCCTGCCCTAGAGCATCTTAATGTGTCTCTTTGAGAAATGCAAAAAAATACTTGATTCTGACAAAAATCTTGTGACCTGATACCATTCTGTGCTTTCCACCTGTGCTAGCGGTTATCAGTTAGTATTTTTTCCCAGCTATCTCTACAAAACACCTACATCTATGTTAAATGAAAGTGAAGAGGGGAAGGTACTCTGTAATCCCATGCTAGAGTGTCTGCACCTCCATAGATTTAGTACAGTGAGTAGGTGTTGTGCCAAATCACAAGAATGTGATACTGGCAGGATCACCAAGTAAAAAGGCCTAAAAAAAGGAAATGAACACAGCACCACATGTACGAACTGGCAGCTGCAACATATTAATTTTTTTGTGCTCACGTTTAGATATGACTTAGTCACCTTGCCACAAGATTATCCAGCAAGATAGAGATAACTGCTCCCAAAAGGCCACAATAATTAATAAGTTTATATAAATCAGATCTACGTATAATAACAAGAACAAAATTAAAGATGCATGTTGTTTATGGTCTTTATTTGTCATTATCTTACATGCATTACATTGGGTTAATCTTTTTTTTTTTGATATCTTTAAACTTGAATTTCAAAGCTTTAATATATGTATTGAAACTGAAAATATATAAGGGCTTGTTTACAAATGCTTTGCCTTTTGAAGAGCAACCCACAATGGATTGCATTTGACAGGTAAGCGTGTTGACCAGGAGGCATTGTGTCACCTCACTGGTTGCATGACAGCTGCAGTGCAGCACCATTCAGTTGAATGGGTTGTGTTTGGCTGGTGGTACTGCCTGCTGAATGCTACAGGAGGGATAAATTTTGCATCACAGTCGTGACATGTGTCCCCACCCATCACCATGTCCTAGATGCTAACAAGCTCAGTCTAGGGAAAAAGGAAGGACCAATATCCTGAAGTTGTGAAAAGGAAGAAGGACCAACATCCGAACTTGTGAAAAGGAAGAAGGACCAACATCCCAAACTTGTGAAAAGGAAAGAAGGACCAACATCTCGTACTTGTGAAAAGGAAGAAGGACCAATATCCTGAACTTGTGAAAAGGAAGAAACCAACATCCTGTACTTGTGAAAAGGAAGAACGACCAGCATCCTGTACTTGTAAAAAGGAAGAAGGACTAATATCCTGTACTTGTGAAAAGGAAGAAGGACCAACATCCTGAACTTGTGAAAAAGGAAGAAGGACCAACATCCTGTACTTGTGAAAAGGCAGAAGGACCAGCATCCTGTACTTGTGAAAAGGAAGAAGGACCAACATCCTGAACTTGTGAAAAAGGAAGAAAGACCAACATCCTGTACTTGTGAAAAAGGAAGAAAGGACCAACATCCTGTACTTGTGAAAAGGAAGAAAGACCAACATCCTGTACTTGTGAAAAGGAAGAAAGACCAACATCCTGTACTTGTGAAAAAGAAGAAGGACCAACATCCTGTACTTGTGAAAAGGAAGAAGGACCAACATCCTGAACTTGTGAAAAGGAAGAAAGACCAATATCCTTGTCAGGGCTCCCAGGTGTGACCAGAGGTGGGTGACTGACGCAGGGAAACTCAGACTTCAGATATGTGATAAACAATATAATTTATTAACACTAACAATACAAACATAAACGCAGTGCAATACTAAACATAATACAGTGCAAACAAACCAAAACCAACCACCCACAGATAACAGTACATACAAGCAAGCGTCGTCAGGCAGGCCGGGTCAATATCAATTGGGCAGGTAGGTACAGGGGGAGCAAGCGGAGATTGGTCGGGGTCACAGGCCAGGTTCAGCAGGTAGCAAGCAGCGTAGTACAGAGGGTCAGGCAGAGGGATGGTCAGGGTCACAAGCCCAGGGATCAGAACAGGTAGCAAGCAGCGTAGTACAGAGGGTCAGGCAGAGGGATGGTCAGACAAGCCAGGGATCAGAGCAGGGTCAGCAGAGAATCAGACAGGAACAGAGAGCAGGAACAGGATACAGGGCCCAAGAGAAACACAACACCAAGGCAGAGTCTGCAAGTCTGGCCATCCCTTAAATACCCCAGCATAATCAGTTCCAGATGTTAACTGGCTGCAAAGTTGAGTCCTGATTGCTGGGAGCACCCGCTGGCCAGCCCTGGTACTGCAGATCAAAAGGCAGGTGAGTCCCACCATTGCTGGCTAGTCCATTCCTGACAGTACCCCCCCCCCTCAAGGAGCGGCCTCAGGACGCTCCAAACAGTCCTAGCTGGGCAAAATGTTCCACCGCCCGGGTCTGGTAACTGGCGGGATATCAAAGACTGGCACACCGGGCAGGACTCCGGGCAGCGGCAGAGGCACATCGGCTGGACTTGGGCCGGGCAGAGGCACATCGGGCTGGACTCACGGGCAGAGGCACATCGGGCTGGACTCCGGGCAGAGGCACATCGGGCTGGACTCCGGGCAGAGGCACATCGGGCTGGACTCCGGGCAGAGGCACATCGGGCTGGACTCCGGGCAGAGGCACATCGGCTGGACTCCGGGCAGAGGCACATCGGGCAGGACTCCGGGCAGAGGCACATCGGATTACCAGGCGAAGCAGCAGGCAGCGGGCCACCAGGCGGAGCAGCAGGCACCGGCCCCGGGCGGGGCAGCAGGCACCGGCCCCCGGGCGGGGCAGCAGGCACTCCGGGCGGGCCCCCGGGCGGAGCGGCAGGCACCGGGCCCCCGGGCGGAGCGGCAGGCACCGGGCCCCCGGGCGGAGCGGGCAGGCACCCGGGCCCCCCGGGCAGCGGAGGCGGCAGGCACCGGGCCCCCGGGCGGAGCGGCAGGCAGCTCGGGCACCCCGGCGGGGCGACAGGCAGCGGGCCCCCAGGCGGGCGACAGGCACCAGGCCCCCCAGGCGGGGCGACAGGCACCGGGCCCCCAGGCGGGGCGACAGGCACCGGGCCCCCAGGGCGGGGCGACAGGTCTCGGGCCCCCAGGCGGGGCGACAGGTCTCGGGCCCTCAGGCGGAGCGGCGGGCGCCGGACCCCCAGATGGAGCGACAGGTCTCGGGCCCCCAGGCGGAGCAACAGGTCTCGGGCCCTCAGGCGGAGCGGCGGGGCGCCGGACCCCCAGATGGAGCGACAGGTCTCGGGCCCTCAGGCGGAGCGGCGGGCGCCGGACCCCCAGATGGAGCGACAGGTCTCGGGCCCTCAGGCGGAGCGGCGGGCGCCGGACCCCCAGATGGAGCGACAGGTCTCGGGCCCTCAGGCGGAGCAACAGGTCTCGGGCCCCCAGGCGAAGCGGCGGGCACCGAGTCACCAGGCACGACAGTGGGCACCGAGTCGTCTGGCAAGACTGCGGGCACCGAGTCAACTGGCGGAACAGCGGGCATCGAGTCAACTGGCGGAACTGCGGGCACCGAGTCGTCTGGCAAGACTGCGGGCATCGAGTCAACTGGCGGAACAGCGGGCACCGAGTCGTCTGGCAAGACTGTGGGCACCGAGTCGTCTGGCAAGACTGCGGGCACCGAGTCGTCTGGCAAGACTGCGGGCATCGAGTCAACTGGCGGAACAGCGGGCACCGAGTCGTCTGGCAAGACTGCGGGCACCGAGTCGTCTGGCAAGACTGCAGGCACCGAGTCAAGACTGCGGGCACCGAGTCGTCTGGCAAGACTGCGGGCACCGAGTCGTCTGGCAAGACTGCGGGCACCGAGTCGTCTGGCAAGACTGCGGGCACCGAGTCAACTGGCGGAACACGGGCATCGGTCAACTGGCAGAACTGCAGGCACGAGTCGTCTGGCAAGACTGCGGGAATCGAGTCGTCTGGCAAGACTGCGGGCATCGAGTCATCTGGCAAGACTGCGGGCACCGAGTCGTCTGGCAAGACTGCGGGCATCGAGTCGTCTGGCAAGACTGCGGGCATCGAGTCGTCTGGCAAGACTGCGGGCACCGAGTCAACTGGCGGAACAGCGGGCATCGAGTCAACTGGCGGAACAGCGGGCATAGAGTCAACTGGCAAGACTGCGGGCACCGAGTCGTCTGGCAAGACTGCGGGCACCGGGTCATCAGGTACCGGATTGTCTGGCTCGACCGCGGGTATCGGGTCACCAGGTATGACAGCGGGCACCAGGTCATCAGGTACCGGATTGTCTGGCTCGGCAGCGGGCATCAGGTCACCAGGCCTAGTAGGATCGTCAGGCTGGATCAGTTCATCATGCTGGGTAGAGGCATCATCAGGCTGAGTACAGGCATCAGGCTGAGTACGGGCATCAGGCTGAGTAGGGGCTTCAGGCTGAGTAGGGGCTTCAGGCTGAGTAGGGGCTTCAGGCTGAGTAGGGGCTTCAGGCTGAGTAGGGGCATCAGGCTGAGTACGGGCATCAGGCTGAGTAGAGGCTTCAGGCTGAGTAGAGGCTTCAGGCCGAGTAGAGGCATCAGGCTGAGTAGAGGCTTCAGGCTGAACCACGGAAGGCAGGTTCACTGGTTTGGATACTGGCAGGATGGTATTGGTTGGAAAGAATTTTCGCTTTTTTCTGGTTTTAACTACTGGAGCACTGCAAGTAAACGCAGGTCTGCAAATGAATAGAGCAGCTGGAGACAGAGAAGAACTGGAGGATGGAACAGGGGAGGGAGCAGTTGCTACAGAGGGCTTTTTTACAGGGTTAAAGGCAGGATAGGTGCAGCGAGTGGGAACAGGGTACTGACATGCGGTAGATAGCAGGGCAGGAGGAGCTGTTGGGAATGCAGGAATAGAGCTTTGAGGAAATAGATTAGAAGCAGGACTGGGTCTTTGTAAGCTGACTGAGGCTGGGTGCAACAAGTCTGTCCATGTCTGCAGTATGGGTTGAACAAAAGCTGAGCTTACACAAAGCCTGTCTGACCAAAGACTGCACTGCGTTTATACAATCTCTTAGTATCTGTGGTGAACATGTGGAAATAAACGCTCCAGAAAGTAACCCACATCATCCTCTAATAACCACACCAGGGACTCTACCTGGTCTGCACTAAATGGTGGCAAAAATTCATCCCTGCATTCGGGGGAACCAGATGAAACCAACTCAGCACAAACCTCAATCAATGGCTGCACCTCAGAGAACTCTGTGCCCTGATCTGCTAGAACATGAGCGAGCCGTATACATTCTAGCAGTTCATCCCGGGGATACTCCTTCAGAGTTTGATAAGCATACTCCCTGTCATCAAACACTAGCAGATATAAATACGCAACCTCATCCAGATCCATCCTTCCCATCAACAAACCAAGATGGCTTCCCTGTGCAGCCACTTCTGGTCAGGATTGGCCTTGGTGTAATGTCAGGGCTCCCAGGTGTGACCAGAGGTGGGTGACTGACGCAGGGAAACTCAGACTTCAGATATGTGATAAACAATATAATTTATTAACACTAACCATACAAACATAAACGCAGTGCAATACTAAACATAAATACAGTGCAAACAAACCAAACCAACCACCCACAGATAACAGTACATACAAGCAAGCGTCGTCAGGCAGGCCGGGTCAATATCAATTGGGCAGGTAGGTACAGGGGGAGCAAGCGGAGATTGGTCGGGGTCACAGGCCAGGTTCAGCAGGTAGCAAGCAGCGTAGTACAGAGGGTCAGGCAGAGGGATGGTCAGGGTCACAAGCCAGGGATCAGAACAGGTAGCAAGCAGCGTAGTACAGAGGGTCAGGCAGAGGGATGGTCAGACAAGCCAGGGATCAGAGCAGGGTCAGCAGAGAATCAGACAGGAACAGAGAGCAGGAACAGGATACAGGGCCCAAGAGAAACACAACACCAAGGCAGAGTCTGCAAGTCTGGCCATCCCTTAAATACCCCAGCATAATCAGTTCCAGATGTTAGCTGGCTGCAAAGTTGAGTCTCTGATTGCTGGGAGCACCCGCTGGCCAGCCCTGGTACTGCAGATCACAAGGCAGCTGAGTCCCACCATTATTGGTGAATTCATTCCTGAGAGAGGGTGTGTTGCACTTGTCTGCTGAGCTCCAGAAAGGCCCGAGAAGCCTGGGGCTAAAGTGCCCTGCCCAGCCCAGGCAGGATGGCGGATCCTGGGCCTGGGTCCAGCGGGGGTGAGAGAGGCCCTGGAGGGGGCCTAGTACCGGCCTCTCTTTTCCACCAGTAGAGGACCCTGGGAATGGCCCCTAGGAAGGGGGAAGTTTATTCTGCCTACCGGGACCGTGTGGCCGCTCGGGCCAGGTTAATAGAGAAGGAGGAAGCCAAGCTCCAGAAGCTGACTCTGGAGCTAAAGAAGCGCCGGTCATCGGCAGCGGCAGCTTCGTATGGAGTTCATGAAAACGGACCTGGAGGCGCTGGAACTTCGTGTGTCACAGCAGGGGAGGTATGTGGCGCCGCTGCAGCGCCAGAGTGGCGTCCTAAGCGAGAAGTATCTGAATGAAGCGAGATTTAAGGCTGCAAGAAGCCGCAGTGTTGCGGCGATGCGGGGTCCGGTGGAGGAGGCCTCTTCGGTGGAGGAATTGTCGGGGGAGTTGCTGGTGGAAGGCGAGCAGGGGCAGGTTGAGCCCACAGCACCCTCAGAGGAAATGGCGTCTATCATGGAAGACAGCGTGGTGGCAGGATCATCAGAGTCCCTCCCCCCTGGGCAGCTGCCTGTGGATTGGGGGACCCAGGTGGAGGAGGAGGAGATAGTGGGCGGATTGCAGTTCCTGGCAGAGGCGGTTGCAGAGCTGCGTGGAGCCGACTTCAGGTTTACGTCCGAGGACTCAGAGGAAAGAAGCTGAAAGTGATGTCATCCCCCGCAAGCCGGCTAAGCCGGTGGTGAAAGAGCATGCTGCCTTTGTCATGCTGCAACGCATCCCCAAGGACGTGTTGGCAAAGGCAGGGGAGCCACTGGAAGGGGAGAAGGACTCTGCTGATTGTGTTGGTGAGATGGTTCTGGACACTGGGGTAGCGGGTATAATGCCTGCAAAATTGTCTGAGCTGCAGGTTAGCCCTACAGTCCTGGCTAAGGGTGTTTCCCCTCCGGTGGTGGTCCCACTGGGCCCCGCCCCCTTTGGGGGGCATGGTGGCCTCTGGTGTGCAACCAGTAGGTCCCCCGGTTTTCTCCTCAGGGGGCTCCAGGTTCTCAGGTCCAGGCTCCTGCGGGTCCGGCTCAGGTGGGTTCTCCTGCTGGTATGGGTGGTCCCCAGCCCCGGGCTCCCCCAGGTCATGGCTCATCAGCATCTGCCCCCTTCAGTTGCTGCTGCTGGTGTGGCGGCTTCCCCTGGTCATGCCCCTTGATGTTGAGTGCCCCTGGGGCTGGATCGGGGCTCAGTTACTCTGCTGCAGTTAGGGGAGGTCAGGGGTCAGTGGGATCGGCCTGGGCAAGGGCAGGTAACCTACCCACTTCCGCCGCAAGGCGAAATGTTGTTCAGCTGAAATGGTCAGGGGAGGGCCCCCCCCTTAGCAGGAGAGAGGTCATAGACCGCATATTAGAAATGGGCTTCCATGCCGCAGATATTTTTGCGTTTATTGCTCCAGTTGGTACTGGAGAATATGACGTGTCCTTCATGCGGCCAGAATTGTTGGACCTCTTTTGGCAGAGGTATGAGGCCACCTTTGTCACCAGCCCTAGGTGGGTGGGCCTAACCCCGAGGCTCGTCTCTCGCCAGTCCCTGATTAAAAAAATAACGGTGCTGGTGAGAAATGAATCCATCCCTGCATCAGATATTGTGGTCTGGCTAAGCAGATATGGGGATGTGATGGGGCCCTTGGGAAGATCAAGGATGAGAGGGGAATATGGACAGGTGGTGTGGACGACCACCGTCCGCTTAAAGGTGGTTGGAAATGTGCTCCAGCACATTCCCTCTTCCGCTTTTCTAGGGAAGGACCCGCCTGATAATTTTTTATGCGGGTCAGCCGAGGGTCTGCCACCGGGGTGGGGGCAAGGGGCATTTTGCGGCCACCTGCCCCGTCATTAGATGTTCCCTGTGTCAGGAAATAGGACACCTGGCCAGGGACTGCAATGTTGTCCGATGCAATCTCTGCGGGGAGCTTGGGCATTCATACAACCAGTGCCCGGAGGCCCTCCACAACCTTCCGGTGGGGGAGCTTGAAGCAGAGTTGGATCGGGTAGATGCTGAAGAGGCGGAGGCGGCATTGGAGAGAGAGCGGCTTTGGTTGCTGTGGCGGCCCTTGTGAGGGAAGGGGAGGTTTCTGTGGCCCCTCCTGTCTCTGTCCCCCCTGTTTCGTCTACCCCTTTGGAGTCCCCTGTTGTTCCCCCTTGTGTGCCGGTTCCTCCTCCCAGGACTAAGAAAACAGCTGAGGGGGAGGCTGCTAAAGGGGCCGGGATGGTTGAGGCTAGGTCTAGTCCCTCAGTGTCTGCTCCCCCTTGCTCTTGCCGCTGCGGCGGCGGAGTAGGAGGCCCGGTAGGGAGTCCCGTGAGTCCCAAGGTTCTGCTCCGGTAGGGGGCTCGGGTGGAGGAGGGGTGGTCCCTGGTGGGTAGGCGGAGTAAGCCAGTTTTGTCCTCAGTAGGGTCGGTGTCCTCTTTAGAGGCGGGGGAGGTGGCCCTGGGGAATAGGTTTGGGGCTTTGTCGGGGGGAGGGAGGAGGGGTCAAGTGATCCCGCTTCCCTGATGGAGGACGAGGATGCTGGGGGGTCTCTTAAGAGAGTGAGGGACCCTGCCAAGAAAGTCAAGAGGAGGATTAAGAACGTCCCTCTCAATTATCTTAATGGCAGTTCCCGCTCCGATAAAGGTGGCAACCATTAATGTTGCCAGCATAAAGTCTGTAAGTGCTAGAGAAACAGCCTTATTTTTGATCAGTAGGATGGAAGCTGATATTTTCTTTTTGCAGGAGACCAGGTTGCCCACCTTGGCTGATGTCCATCTGGCCAAGCGTGAGTGGAGGCGTGGGCCCTCCTACTGGTCTCTTGCGGCTGAGCTTTACAGCGGAGTTGCGGTGCTTTTTACCGGCATGGTAACGTGTCGGCGATAATTGAGGTAGAGATCGGAAGATGTCTGATTCTGGATGTTCTCGTAAGGGGGCATGAGCTCCGTCTCATTAATATCTATGGCCCACAGTCCAAGTGGGACAGGGAAGAACCTCTTTGCGAGGATTAAACCTTTACCTCTTTACATCCCGGCTGGTAGTCTTTGGAGGTGATTTTAACACCATTACTAGGCCCA